AATATTTTTTTATTATATTATTTAAATTTAAATATTTTTTAGGTCGCTGAATATCAATTTAGTCAAAATTGATAAATTAAAAATAATGGAAATTAATATTGTGAATGTCAACTAAAAAATGTTTGAAGCTTTGAAATAATTTGACATAAGATTTTTTATACAATGTAAATTGCATTTATTAACTTTGATGTGATTAATTCTATCTATGATTTAGAAAATTAAGTTTAAGTTTGAATAATATAATTAAAAAATATTTGATAGATGTTTAATACTATGGATGTCCTATAGAGGTTTATTCTAAAACTATTTTGATGTAACAAACCTTATATTAAATGTAAATATCTTTTTAGTCACAATCGATACAACAAATTTCTTTCAAGAACTGAAAGTCCTAATAACATATTTAATTTTGATTGTGATGAAACGTCTCTAACACGTCACGTATATCTTAATTGTAATATGCTTAATTGTAATAAAATATATTAAAATAGCCCAACTTAGCAACTTCAGTTTTTAGCTAATTTTTCAAAATTATAACGTAACAGAGCAATTTGGTAGACGGGATCGTATTCAACATTTATAAAACTGTGGGAAACAATTACCCTCGCTCTTATGCTCCTAAAAAAGTCTTTTTTGTTGTGAATAGTGTAATCTGCAGAGCTATTATGTATATGTGAGATATACATACATGTGCTATTGTATAGAGTTTAATATCAAAGGAGTATAGTTTTGTTAGGAAAAATGAAGAAACAATTTTGCCGATCTGTTTCTCTTTATCAAACGTGTATTTAAAGAAGTCCATTTTTACTTATTTCTTCAACCGTGTTTCTCTCTTTCTCTGCCTCTCTTTTTCTCCGGTCTTTTGAGATTCGTGAGTCGCGATGTGTGTCAAGTATGTGCAGCGACAACGGTCGTGAAACAAAGCCTGCGACGATCCAGCATACAAATCGACAAATGAATGTGAATGTAAACTGCAACGTGAAAACGTATACAATCATCTAATATTTTTTGTAGTACTGCAGAAAAATATTATATACCCTCGACACGCGATTACATTTTAGGATCAACTAAAGACGACCTTAGATGATAAAACGGAAATCTAAAAAAAAGCGTTGTAACAAGATAAAATAATGCGACAGAATATATAATGAAACAGGATAACTCATTCTGTTTACATACTTGACAAATTGCATTCCTTTTTAAACCAACAATTGTCCTTTTAGTATTTTGTGCGAATTACCGGTTACGAGAAAATGTAATTTAATTTAATTTTCTGTATAATATAATAAAGTAAATTATATGCTGGACTGTGAGAAACTCATACGCGCGCGAGATTTCCTAAATATTGTTATCAGATATATATTAGTCAATTATATTCACGCATAATTTTACAACGCATAATGCAATTAAAATTAACTACAATATAAATTTATTAAAGTTCTACGAAGTCCTGCAAAATACAGAATATTTTCACCCTTATGTATGTTATATCATTGCCGTTGATATTTTCGGGTCTCGCTTTTAGCTGATATTGCTGAAATGTTGATATCCACAAGCCTGCAAATAGACATAAAATACACATACTTTGGGAAGGAACCTGTCACATGCTAAAATGTATAATTTTCAGAGATACACATTTGTATTTCAGTAAACAAAATAATATCATGAGCTCAATACGGCTTGTTAAAATGGTACAATAATGGGTCACATTATACATCTTTATATATTGTATAAACTTAACAATTGAAAAATAATATATATGTATTTAGTTGATTATTGTCAATGTATTTAAAGCTGTAGCATTCAAAGCTGTCAATATTATATAGCGTTAATGAACAGTTAATTAAATATTTATTATTAATAAAAAGGTATGGAAGTGTATTAAATAGAGATATACGTGGAATAATATATTAATGTAAAATATTTATATACTGTCGAAATTCAGAGTTTTCATAAAAATTTACATGACCCAAATTTACCCACGGTCAATGCAATGTAATTGCGCGTGATTTAATTACGTTCATTTCTACGTTCAGTTCTATGCTCTGTTATTGAAGATAATTCGATCTAGCAGATCTAAATACTTTTCTGAATAAAACTTTCAAAGAAATAGTTTTACCTGTGTTTTCTCGATCGTTATATAACTATGCGACATGTTCCTCTGGAATCAGGTCTCTGACCTTCCGGACAGGGGTTTGCAGTTGTTCTTATGGGTGCGTCTACAACACTAGTCGGACGTAGACGTGGAATAAAGTCCAAATTTGGATATGTTATATTCTTATTCTCTCGACTGACTGTCGGTGATATCACGGTTAACATCACTGTCGCAAGTATTAGCAAAATACCGATGAAGTTCTTCATTTCTAGATAACGTAATGATTTTTGGTTTAAAAATAACAAATTGAAGTGCGCACGAGTGGACATCAAAATTTCCGCATCACTAATTTCGTATCCTTACCTCTTTCTCGGTTCTCTTCTCTTGACGTCTCTTGACTCTTGACGTCTCTTCGTAACTTACGTGAAAATCTAAGAAATTTTCAAACCCTCCTCTCGCTTTAGACGTCTCCCTCCCTCCTTTTAGACGCTCCCACCTGCTTCTTTACTCTACTTATCTCAGCGAGTATTTTACCGCTTCGCGCGCTATTGCGTGTTCCTTATTTATATTTAGATGTTATCTTCCGACCGTGCACTTCGCTTCGTTACAATAAAAATTAAAATCGTGCAGATTAAAGATCGCGCTATAATTGTTGCAATCGAAGTTTACTAATATCAATGTCGTTAATTAATGAACGTAGTTACAGCGTCCCGTCATTTTCTCCGCGTGTAAACGTCTGCGAAAATTTAAATACAAGTGGAGCGTTCGCACAACTCTCTAACAAACTGTTATAAATATTATAATATGCACGTTGAAATAACATACAAAGTGCTCAGCTTCGCATACATATCATTTCTTATGACTTGTACCCGCGCGAGACGCTATAACCCTGCCAGTCTACAGACTAACGTGACAGACTAACATCGGCCTTGACACGGTTAAAAGATGTCTTTAAAAATAATATATCTTATGTCGATCGATAAAAAACAGGCCACTATACATGTCAGTAAATAACTTTATATCTGAATGGAAAGATGGAAAGACAGATAACGATATATAGGCTTGTATATACTTTCATATTTTTAATGCCGCCCGTTCGGCATCAAGATTGACTGCTGCACGTTTATTTTATGCTCACAACACCGCCGTTATATTTAGAGATTTAGACCAATAAATGTCAAAATCTGATAACATGGCTGACCTAAAGAAGAACGTGTTGCAAATAGAACTGATAGGCATACACAGCCATTAATAACACTTTATTTAGTAATACTTGCTGTAACTTTTTTTCTATACAGAGTAGGAATGATTACTAAACGTCTATTAAAGAAAAATCAGTCCAAATTTGATTGTCCGAATCCATTTGTCATTTAAATTTCAATATACATAGTGACGTGCGGTTTGTAGAAACATACAACTATGAGGTTTTTTTTCTATTTATTGCTAGACTTTGCTGACGTACATATATACATGGTTTTCATTTTACAAGTGCAAAAAAAACATAAGCATATTAGAAAATGTATCTTATTTACGATAAATTGGGACCTCAGATTATATCGATGCCACAAATTACCGCGTAATTAGTAACACTAATACAATGAATAAATAATTCACATATATTGGTAATTGCATTTTATGGTGAAATATTTCGTTTCTCCGATAATGCAAAGCGGGATGAATAGCTTGGCCAATCTCTCGTCACGCGTTGTTACGATATTTCACTGCGACGTTTGTAGGATGACACCGCTCATATCTGCAAGCAAATATAAAAAAATAGTAGCTTGCGAATGAATAGCCCTTGCTCAGCGACATAAAAAATGAATTATGTGCGACGGCTTAAATCTTTTTCATATTTTTCTTTTTAAACACACACACACACACACACATCATAAATTTTGTTCTATTGGTGGATATTCAGACAGCTATGGAATGAGCGAGATAATACGATCGTTGAAATAAATGTGTGGAATATATGCAGGGGTGTTCTGGAAAAGGAAGCGGAAATACGTGCTTTGCGGGAGTAATTGCAGTAGACACCAAAAGTTTGCATGAAAAGCATAAATTTTCGTTAATGAACGCACATTCAAACAGCAGATTTAAAATACATATCAGAGATATATCACGTTTAAAAATTAGACATTTTGCGAGTTAATATAGTAAACAAAATTTCAACTTGTCTAATTCTAAATGTGACGAAATATCCAAAAAGACGCTAAATTATCTTAACTTTAAAAAAATTGATTAAAATCATTGTTTAAATTAATTTCATACAATAGAGAACGTTAATTTGTAAATTAACTAAGTTACATAGTATCGAGTTAAAAAGTGTTACGTGTAACGTGTCTCATGAAATTTTGATAATAGAAATAGATTCCAAATTTGTCAAAAAATCTGTTGTTGAAATATCTTTTAAGATTAATGATATACTGCTGTATTATATATAACAGAGATGAATAATTTATACGAAAAACAATTTATCTTCTATAATATAGAAACAGGGGATTTAACGTGGCGCGTATCTTCAATCTTTTATAATAGATATATAAAATATCTAATTTTTTATTTTTATTTTAAAATAAAAATATGTGCTTTTATATAATATATAATAGCTTTATATTATATATATAGTTTTAATATATATGTCTTTTTGTACGGGGCTCTATTAATTTATTTCCGTTTAAGTTTCTTGATCGTTTAATTTTCAATGTAAAAATAATTGTCTTCACTGCTTTATCAAGATAAATGGACATTTAAGATTAAAATTATTCTAACTTATCTTTGTATCTTTTAATGCCATTGGGTAAATTTTTTATTACGTTTTTTTTAAATTTCCGTTGTTAATAAAATCATTACGTAAACATGCTTAATTTTCTTTATTTCGGAGATTTTTAGACATTTTTTGTTTAAATCGCGTTGCTAATCGATCGAACACGAAATCACTGATCGAGCACGAATCGACGTCACTGTTCTGATGCGAGAAATTGATAAAACTTCAACTGTCGTTGATTTTTCAGTAACAGTCAACTCTTTTTATTTCTCGTCCGACAACGATGACAATGCCGACAGTCATCATCGTCACGGCGGAGATTAACAACGTGACTCAAATTTTTATTTTTGTGATATTCACACAAAACGTGTGACCTCGATTCCTCTAAACGATATTACGTACGGAATGTCTTCGTAAAAGAAAACCGTTTTTCTCGGCAATATCTCGTTATTTACAACAACGTCGTCGTTAATAATTCTGATCAATGAATATATTTATTTTTCTCGAATATTTCAATTTTCATTCTTTTGCAAATCCTTTTTATTCTTTTCTTATATGTTTTCTCCTAATCTCTACGATCTTCAGCAGAGTTACCACAAGGATTTACCTTATTTATTTTCCTCTTGAAGCTTGAAACTACTAAAGCTTTTGCAAAAACAATCGGCATTTTCCTCTCGAGTCACGTTGCTGACCAGCTGGACACGGAAATTCCGGCACTGATATGATATTGAATGGAGCAATCGTCGCAGATGTACTCGTATTATTAGTCGACGATCCGGCTTGATCTATTTTCTTCGGTGGCGGCAACGACGCGACGGTCATCACCATCGCGGCAATCATCAATAATGCAATGTAAAATTTCATTCTCGCTTTTTGTCACAGAATGAAAATCGTTCCGAAAATTTGATCTCGATAAAGTCTAAACAACGCGTACAATGTGTGAAATCGTCGAAAAGAACGGAATTTATAAAGATGCTGTCGTTAATGCTGCGCAATGACTGATTAGTTTTTCCCCGAGGATTCCACGAATCGACAGAATCGAAGTATAATGATAATCCATTATAAAAATTACGTCATATTTACACGATGTCGTGTCAAAGGTGAAATAAATCTTTGATAAGAGTTTATCGCGTGCATGTGTAATCTCGCAGTACTTCACAGAAATGTTAACTAAATTCTAATATTAATTCGCATGTGTAAAATATAAATATTCAGAAAATCTTATATAATCAATTCTATAAAAATAATATAAAATAAGTTTTAACGATAATTTGCATTTAAATATTTTTAAATTAAAAGTTTATTTTAGTTAAATCTTGTAATATATGCTTTTATATAACAAATAAAATTATCAGGATTGCTTCTCGCCCTAAAGAAATGAACAGCATTGTTCACGAAACATTGGCATTAACAATGGATCAAGACACGCGAAGAAACCCGTAAATCTCTTAGCACTTTTTAAAGAGAATATCCGTAAAAGCCTTAAGAGCCTTAATAAATAATATTATTTATTTTTATCTTCTTCCAAAATATTTTAATTTTTATTTACACAAACCTTTATATTTGTTATCGCATATTTTTAATTATATATTTTATTAATTTATTTATTTTATTTATTTATTTTCTCCATTTATTCTATATTTTATATTTTAGTTTATCTTTTAAAATATTTCTGGAATAGTCTAATTTATATCGTAATTTATTTATTTTACTTATATCCCTATAGTTTAAATCGATTTTTCTGAAATAATACACTATTTAATGTGACACTTCTTGGAAAATAGCCAATAATCGTAATGAAGGTATGTATTTAATATGTTTAACTTAATGTTACCAGAACAGCCAAGTATCGTTTTGCATTTCAAATTGCATATGAAATTCTATAAATATGCATATGCGAGTGGCTCACAGAGAGAAAATATCTTATCCACGAGATTGCGCGAATATCGAAATTATCGAGCAATAGAGAGAAAGAGAGAGGAAGAGAAAGAAGGAAAGAGGGAGAGAGAAAGAGAGAAAAAGAGAAAATAAGAGAGAGAAAGAAGGAAGAGCTTAAAATATTAACGACAGTTACATTTGGAAAAGCGTTGAAAAGTTGAAAATATTTAATGAGTAATAAGATTTTATTTACTTATTACCGTTCAAGTGTTTTCAAAACACAAAAAAAACTTTTATTCATATTTTACGAAGTCAATTTCATAGATGGTTAACTCTCTGTAGGGAAAAAAAACTGTTGTGCAAGAAACGATTGATTTTTATGACGATAGAATTTGGCTTTTCAGTCCAACAAATATTTGACTTTTGCCGCGAATAAAGTTTCGCTTTTAGTAACGAAACAGAGTATAGCTTAAAACGAGCCCAATATATATCTCTAGTTTCTAAATTGGAAAAAAAAATTTTATCCGCCAGAGAGCCCTGGTTCGATTTTTTCAAATAAAAAAAACATTTAGCTTTTAGTATAAAATCTAATTGTTCTAAAGAACGAATACAACGTCAAATGAAAGAAATTTATTTAGTTTCCATACAGAAAAATTTAATTTCCTATTCTTTAGGGGAAACCGCGTTCTTACTCTGACGCTTTTAAGAGATTTTTTAAATTTAACGTTTTCAGATTCAATAAAAAAAGTTACTTGCAGATTTAAAAAAACCTGGTTTTTGCGATTGCACACTATTGAACTTTTATAACAAGGCAGCTTTTAGGTGAAAAAATAATCGTTTAATCCTAGAGTACAACAAAAATGAATAAATTCTTTAGACCAACTTTTAACGCTTATAAATCCGATAACGAATACATACACTGTGTTGTCTAAATCGACTCCTTTTACAAAAGTATTTGAATTTATAAATTTACAATAAAATCATGCATTTACAATTCTTTTAAAAAAATAAAATCATGTTATTGTAAATAAAAGTACTTATTTAACAAAATTGATTGTTCATTTGTGTGATTAAATCTGTTACTATATTGGTTTATTAATTTTATACACTACAATAAGCATAAAATTAACAGTACAGAAATTTATAGAAGGCAGACGACGAAAATGTTCGTAATGAACACATTTAATCATATTTTCAGTGATTACGTTGTGAATATTAATTAATAATTTTCAATAATTAATAATTTTTGTTATAAAATGGCAATTTTAATTTCAAAATACTGTTCAAAATCAGAATTTAAATTATGAATTAAATCATAAATTGGATTTTAAGTGTAATATTATAGAATGTCAATTAACTAATATCTTGAGAATTTAAGTAATATATATATTTGTTATTATTTATTAACAGTCACTTTTCACCGAGACATTATTAAAATTTTATTAAATTTTCAACCATTTGAAAAACCGCTTGCGTGAATCTCACGGGCCGTCAATCAGATGTTTAAAGAGCGCTGGTGCAGAAAAAACAAAAGAACAAACTAACCGTGTGAAACGTTAATCAATACAATACGGGCCTCCATTGTCCATTCGCATCGCGGCGATACTTCTTTCCGTTTTTCTCGATCTCGACCTTTCGTTCCGGCACAGTGATGATGTTCCTCTTGACTCGACTTTTAATTTCGCTTCCGTCTTCCGTGTCAACCGATGTCCCCGCCGACAAAATGGCGTCGACCTCTTGCGTCTTATCGGGCGCGATTTCTTTCACTTTTTCACTGTCAGCCACCGGCGTTCTTTCAGCCATTGTAGCGATTCTTCGATTGTCGGGATCCTTAAACGATTTTCGATAATCCTATTTTTCCCTCTAATCTACCATCCAATCTCCGGGGGATCCCTGTCTTTGGATCTTCCAGAATCCCTGTTGCTTCTGAATATTAAATAATAATTTTGAATTGTAAATGACGATTTTAAATCTGAGAAACAGAGAGAAAGAGAAAGAATCGGGAGATCCTTATTTTAAATAATATTTTGAAAGCTTGGAAACTTTAAACATTTGAATATTTAAATAAATTTTCTTAATTCTTTTGAGATTGTAAATCATAAATATGCTTATTTAACGAAATTAATTGTTTATTTGGTTAAATCTGTTATTATTGATTTATTAATTTTGTACATAATAAGCATAAAATTAACAGTACAGTTCTTTAATCTCAAATTATATTCTTAAATTTTAATTATGTCAGTACCCAGATATATACATACATCCAGATACTTATTCAACTTCTTTCTTAAAATTTTGGTGCTTTCCATTCATATATCGCCAAACGGCTTCGAATTCCCATTTGTTTTTCGTAAATTCATTAATTTATTTTATTAAAATATTTGGGCTTGTAAAACTTGAAAAATTTTTGAATTTGTAGGCATTAAACCTGACTAACACGCCTGTTCATTGCTCGAGTTACTCGAGTGCCTATCACGGTTGTCACCTTCCGACCGATTAGTGTTCCGCCAAAGATCGATGGTCCTCCTGTCTGATATTACTACCATCCAAATAATCAAATTATTACTTTCTTGTGCTTGAGGAAAATGGACGTATGCACGCGTCTCTCTCTCTCTCTCTCTCTCTCTCTCTCTCTTTCTCCTCCCTCTCTCGCTCGCTCGCTTACTCTATCAGCATTTCCCCCCCCCTCTCTCTCTCTCTCTCTCTCTCTCTCTCTTTCTCTTCCCTCTCTTCATCCCTATCCCTCTTCCTCCTTTTCCTCCTTCTCTGTGTATGTTGTATGTGTGTTTGGTTCTGCATATCACTAGTAAGAATCATAAAATGTCACCGTTCCTGTATACATTCCACTTCTTTAAAAAAAAAAAAATCTGGAGATTCGTTCAAAAAGCCGGAGTTCTCCGACCCACATGCATTTTATATTAGAAAGAATATAAAATGGGAAAGGAAGATTTAGTTCGGTATATTTAGGTATTTAAAGGAACAACTTGCTTGTACAACTTACTTGTACTACAAACAGATGCTGAATTTAAACTTTTAAAACTGAAAATGCTGTATTTTAAAAAAGTTTCAAGTTTATAAAAAAATACTCATAAATTACGGGACTCAGACCTTCCATTTTCTAGTAAATTTCTAACACATTCTTCATTTTTTGTTCCTGAACTCAAACTAGAAAGAAATAAAATAGTAAAAATATATACGCACGCGATTTTTTTATCAGGCAATGCAAACTAATAATTGTTCGTAATATTTAATAATTATTCTTACCTCGCGTACTGCGTTGCCGATAACGTCTCTATTTTTTTTATCGAGATAATATTCTCATGTTGAAAGAGAACTTTTATAATAAAAATACAAGGGCGGATGTAACAAAATGATGCAACTGAAAGCACGACTGCTCAAATGAAAAGACGTTTCGAAATTGACGCATAAAGCCCTAAACCCTAAACCAGTTTATGCCTCGTTGGAAGAGAAGTGGGGGAATGTCGACCGTTAGACAGGCTATTGCTAGAATAATAGCTGGAGACGGTTTTGAAGGATAGGGAATAATAGGGAACCATTTACTACCTGTAGCACGTGAAATTCCTTGATGGGTACTCGGATAATCTGGGTATTGACGTAACGTGAAACGTCTGGGTTTAATTTGACATAAGATTTAAATAAATAAATTTTATAATTTTTACAAAATGTAAACAGCATTTTAATGAAGAAAATTCTTTAAATCGTTTTAAATCAGATCTCATTTTTATATTTGAAATTACGTTGCTTGACTTGTAAATCCATTGCTGTATATTTCTACAGCTTTAATAGAAGAAAATACTCAATAAGCAAAAGATTATTACTACAATATTATTACAATGATATTCAATAACATTTTTAAATATGTTGTTTTTCACGTTGTATACAATATAATTATGAACGAATTTTGACACTAGTTTCAATAATGTTGAAATTATTATATTATATCCCATCAGCAAACACCTATAACATACCTGTTACTTGTAATTTCCCACTCAACAATATAATGTACGATATAACACATGTATTATAGTTATATATTATTGCGTAAAAATTACGCAATAGTATATAACTAACAAGTGCATTACATATTACTTGATGTTTGCTAGATATCGTTGTAATTCATATTATGCTTATGTTTTTTTTAACACTCTAATAATATTTCTTAGATAATATTGAATAAATGGTACAATTTTATGTTAGTGTCATTGATACATTATAATTTTAATATGTTTAATATGTTTTAAACAAATATTTTCAATATTAATAAAAATACTCTCACAATATATTTTATTTATTTTCATCTTGAAGCCCTTGGGTCATTTTCAAGAAATCATTTTATTAGAACACGGATGAAGAATCTTATAATGCTGCGCCTTTTATCTGTCCTGATACGGTTTTTATTTGCGACAAATATCATTCCGTCGAGTCCATATGTTGGCGATACCGCGTACTGTTCCCGGATAGGCGGACTTTAATATCAATTTGTTCGATGTTGTTTCAACGTTGCAACATTAACAATAAATGTAGAAAAATTAATATAGATATGACATTTAAAAAAACATTAATACTTTGACACTATTAACTGATATGTTATATTTACGTAATAAGTCTAATAAGTGTCCAATAATGTTACGATAACATTATTATTGTAATTAAAAATAATTCAATTTATGTTTTTAAAATATTTAAAAAATATTTCGGAAGTTTTTTTTAAAATACAGCATTTTCAGTTTCACAAGTTTAAATTCAGCATTTGTTTATAGTATAAGTAAATTATAATACAAATAAGTTGTTTCTTTGTTGAATATACCTAAATATACCGAACTAAATCTTCCTTTCTCATTTTATGGTATTCTTTCTATAGTGTATTATATAATAACAATTAAGGAAAAAAGAGGCTAATAAGAGTTAAGTGCGATATTTAGTACGCAAATAATTCAAACAATTTTTAATAATACTTAAATACAAGACGTTTCGGCTCAGGTTCGAGCAATCTTCAGCAATACAAAATGATGATGTCTTCATTCTCCGCACAAATGACACACTATATGGATAATCCATAACTCGTTATTTATGCGAAGAATGAAGACATCTGAGATCATCTGAGATTTTGTATTACTGAAGATGGCTCGAACCTTAGCCCAAAGTCCTGTATTTAAATATTGTTAAAAATTGTTTCAATTATTTGCACACTAAATATCGCGCATTGACTCTCATTAGCCTCTTTTTTCCTTAATTGTTAATTTTTAATTACGAGAGTCTGTTATAGTTTCTTGTATTATAGGTATAATGTTATTATATAATATTATTATGTACTATTATTGTATAATATTATACAATAATAGTAATACATGTACCTCGAACAAAACTGTGAACAATATTTTTGAGAATGAATGTTATTAAACTATTATTCACGCTTTTACAGTAACGATTTATTTTTTTATCGTTTATTCGAGCGATGTTTCCTATATTATCAACTCGCTTATCCCCCTTATTGCCACATCGTGAAATCTGCATGATATTTATCGACTTACATTATCGTTATTTCAAATTTCTCTCTATTTTTAAACATACTGTATGTTAAAGCATATGAAATATTTAATCAATACAGTTACGTTTTCTTTTTGCGAGAAACGCAACCGTGTGGTTACATCGATTGGAAGTTTTGTTTCAATTCTTTTTGAATGCTGCATTATTATTATTCAATTTCTCGAGTCTATAATATTTAATGTTGCGGAAAAAAGTATTTCAATTTTAGCAAATGTGTAACATACGTAAAAACGTATGCGAATATGTAAAAATAGTATGCGCTTGCATATGTTTCTACGTTTCCTACGCTAATTCATAATAATTGGAGAAAAAATTTGATAAGAGAATTAATATTTTTACTTACCAGAATTCGATTTGTAGACGGCGTATATATTAAAAAGTTTTTGACATTCGCGATATCGTAACAATGAATGAATTATCTGAACACGTGAATGTGTTATCTTTCGACGCAATTTACTGCATTTCTCACGCTGTCTCTACGGCTTACTCGACGACGATTTCACGACGATTGAGGTCTCTTTTTCATGACCGCTCGATACTCGGCCGCTCGCTCGATAACTTATCGTTATCGGTTGCTATCAATTGGCAAACGTTAAACCTTATCGCAAATAGCCTTTGCGCTCTCTTTATTGCGCTCGAAAACGGATTTCGGAATTAGAGGCGTTCCGCGAGGCCCTTCAGCTTCGACGAAGCGCTCTCGGCGACTATTGCGGGACGAAAGGCAAACGCTTCCAATGCAGTCATCATCGCGCGAAAGTAAATTCGGGCTACAAACGTGGCCGGGAAGAATGGAATGCAGTTGCAATGGATTACAGCTAGACGTTGGAAATTGTAGCTGCCGCAGGGGAAAAGCGTGGTAGGCAAATAGCGAAGGGCATGCGATCGATTACTAGAGATTCCCCCTTTAATCTTCTAGTGGCAAGCGGCGAAATCTCACGAAGCTCCTTTTGCGAAGGAAGGAGGAAGCCTCTCCTCGATTGATTCTGCGAGAGAAATAATTCGGTTACCAAGCGATTAAATCGAACCGTAGCGTTAAGTGTAACGTATATTTTTAAAATGATGAAAAAATAATGAAAAAAATTACAGATTATTTTAGATCGCATTCAAAAGTAATACAAACATTTAGCAGCGTTTTAGAATCCTGGATCAAAAATTATCTCAATCAAAGAAATAGAAGTGTTTTTATCTGTGCTTTAATAGAAATGTAATTAAGAAATAAAGACAAAAATCTCAATTTTTTTATATAAGCAGTTTAAATATTATTAAATTAAATAGGGAAAGGTTGTCTTACGATATTATCATATCATTTTGGATTATATTTCTTAAACAAATGTTAAAAATAAAACTTTGAAAACAAAAATGTAAACTAGAAAGTGTCTTCTATCAAATAATACAGCTTTTTATAATACTAATAAAAGTGAATCAGTGGAATTATCATTAATTTTCAATGTACTTACAACTAAACAGTGATTTCAATATTGTTTCAGTGATAATATACTGATTCAAACAATGAATTTCAGCTTCCAATACTGTTTGACAGTGAAATGTACTGTCTTTCTGTGATATTCATTGTTTGAATCCGTATATTATCACTGAACCAATATTGAAATCACACACTCACTGTTTATCACAGTTGTAAGTACACTGAAAATCAGTGATTTCACTGATTTTCTTTTAAAGAGTAGTGTTTTATAATATTGTTTGGAATTTTACAATATTTAACGTTTTCATGAGATAAGTAAAAGTGAGCTTTTGACAAAATAAGCCCTAAAACTAAAAATAAGAAAGAGAAATGTAAGAAGAAAAAGAAAAATATAAAGAAAACAGTGTTAGGAAATTAAACATGTAAACAACCTAATATTAACATTGTATATCCAATATTACTTAAACTATACAATTTGCAAAAGAAAATTGTAAGATATTTATAATTAAGATATGTTTTTTCGCATTTGTAGAATTTGTTTTTAGCTGATTTTATATAAAAATAAATCACACATATATGAATCGTGAGTTTTACTTCTTTAGCTATCTGAACAGATCATTTTTATCAGTATTGATAAAGTGCAACGTTTAGTTTCCAAGAAATAAGAGATCTTCTTAAAAGACCTAGGTCAGCATCGGCGACTTTTCTCTATTCAAAATGATTTATGTAAAGTTTCATTACGATGCAGAGATTAGTTGAAGAGATTGCTGCAATAATAAGCTTGTTAACCTATAACGAAATATGTGATATTTATAGAAACACGAAATGTATTTTCCCATCACTTTAACTTTAGAGTTCATCTTCTCCGTTTTTACAAAAAGTGGGTTTGTCCGCTGTTGCACCGCTGTTGCAGCGAGCTCTTCAGTTCTGTAAATAAACAAAATTTATTTATTTGTTTATTTACAGAACACAGAACTAATCTCTGCATCGCGATATGTTATTCACACAACTTCCATGTACATGGTTTATTTGAAGTATAAATATTAACACATTCCAATGCCAGTTTACTTTTCGCAAAGGATTGATGACGATAATCCTTAACTGCAATTCGCGCGCAACGCGTGATTGTATTAATTCAAGGTTGGGTAGTTAAAAAGATAAAAGTTAAGTTAAAAAGTTAAAAAGTTAAAAAGTTAAAAGTTAAATAATTTTAATTTAACTTAGTTACATTTTAGACTCTTAACTTTTAACTTAGTTTTTAATTCAGTTACATTTTATCGGTAACTATTAACTTTTGATCTAACTTTCTTGAAGTTACATTTTTAGTGCTTCTTGGAAACCCAAAATGAAACACATGTCTAAGTTAGTGTCTTCAAACTCAAATTTGTGAACACACATCAAGGCAATTGTAATAATATAATAAATATATAGTCTGGTCGCGGGAAGGCGAATCACTGTTCGCGGATCTTCTGTGCATTCCGAAATCGGTCTTCTTTCCGTGACTCGACAGAAATAAGTATAACAAATATATACTTTATTTAGAAACCCTTAAAATCATCAAATAAAAAAAATTTAACTTTAACTTTTCAATTACTTTTTTTATTAATTTAACTTTTAACTCAATTAAGTTTATTATGGACTAACTTGTATCTTAACTAAATTAAATTTTTAGACTGTTAACTTTAACTTAACTTAGTTAAAAAAAATATATTAACTTACCCAAACCTGTATTAATCTCTTCAATGGTGATTTAAAATGATTTCTCTTCTATCGATTTTTTTTCTTCTACCGCGAACCTATATGAACTACTTCAACTACTTGTAGCTCGTTAGGAATAGACGGAGAGATCTTCCAGGATAAAACGCATCGCGAGCACGGAAGCTCGGCACGGAACTGTTCCGGGATATTTCGGCATTAACAACAGACTTTACCACAAAACTTTTTCGGTCATACCACTTAAAGGGTTGAACCGGAGCTGAGATTTAGTTGCACATTACGGGCCGACTTAGTTGCCGACGCCTACTGACCCCTTATTCGCCATCCGTGTCTTAGCAACGAGCCGCCGGCTGGGTGTAAACAAGACGTGTGACGCTTCATTTCAGGGGAGCGCTCGTACGATGGAACTGTAATCCCCCTGAGCAATATCAAGTAACTAGTTAGAACCATAGACATAGTATATAGATAGCTACTATAGATAGACCAAGTCGTGCGATCGAGACCTGGTCAGCGCGTGCGAGAGAGAGCAAGCACAAATAATTCTCTCTCTATCTCTCGCTCTCTGTAACAGAAGGTAGTTCTCCGCATATTATAGAGAGAAAGGAAAATTAGTTGACACTCGATCTATCTATACTATTATCTATTGAAACATTCCTTAATCAACTATATTTTTCCTAAAATATATTACTAAAATAAATTAATTATTACGTTATGTTATTTTATTATAAATGTAGAGTACAAGCTAGTAGTTTTAAATATAAAATTTTATTATTATAGACTTATTAGAATAATAACAATATTTGTAAAGGAAAATCGCCGATACTATATCATATCACTTTGTTTTTGGATTATATTTTTTAAACAAAACTTAAAAATAAAACTTTGAAAACATGAACACAGACTAGAAAGTGTCTTCTATCAGATAACATAGCAATTTTTTATATTTGGAATTTTCCGATATTTAATATTTTCATAAGATTTTCATAAGCAAAATTAAGTGTCTGATAAAATAAGAAAGAAAACAATATAAATAAAACAGTTTTAGAAAACTACAAACATGTAAAACAATCTAATATTAACAATAATATTATCATTATTATTTAAACTACACAATTTATAAAAGAAAAGCGTAAGAGTTATTTTCGTATTTGTAGAATTCGTTTTTAGAAACAAATCTCGAATATATGAATTATGGGTTCTTACTTCTTTCATTATTTAAACAAATTATATTTTTATCGATATTAGTTTATTAATAATGTGCAACGTTTAATTTGCAAGGTATAAGTGAGTGTTTTTTTTTTTGTAAGCAATCAACGACTTTCCTAATATTATTATTGTAGTATTATTAATAATATTGATAACAAAAAAATTTTCAATTATTAATTTAAAATTATTCAATGCGTTTGCGCATTGATAGCGTTTTCATTTGCTCGTTAAGTTCGACAGCTTCCACGTTTAAATATTAGTTAAAGTTATGGCGCGTCAAAAAGGCACGCATTTGATTGATAGTATGACATTACAACGAGATGCACGTTATGACGCATTATAACGCGCGATAAATAGATGTATGGAAATTAAAGGTTTAACACGCATTCGACAGCACATTGTTAAGAGCGGCAAAAGTTGAACAATAGGTGTTAATAACGAAATCCGTCCAAAATGTACAACTAAATACCAGCTCTGTTAAATTAAATACATGTTTTTTAAGACTCAAAGGAAATCATTCTAGATTTACTACAATAATCTAGATTATCTGTCATTTAGTTTTAGAGTCAGTTCCTCAAGTTCTTAAGAATATGCTCTCTAAATTTGAATTAGTAAATATATATAGTCACTGATTATTCATTGAATGCATTAATCCCAAGTATGACATGGTAATCAGTGAAATTCAACTTTATTGTCTCTCGAAAATCACCAATAAATAAGTAAATAATCACTATAATCGTTGACAAATCAGCGGACTTCGCTGTTCTCACTAATTGCACAGCGGATTCGGCTCTGTTTCACTTATTCATTAGCGATGCAAGGCGTTATTGACTCAATCATTGACTTTTTCACTGATTCAGATTTAGAGAATGCTTATACGCTGTTGAATGCTTCAATTTTAATGAAAATAGTTGTTAATTTGGATTGTTTATAAGCAAATTTTTAACATAATTTTATAATTGCAATGATTTTTTATACTCAGGCGAAATTTAAAAAATTATGTTTTAGTTAAAGCATTGAAAATGTGTGATACGTGTAACATAATATATGTATATATTTTTTGAATATTTTAAAAGTATTAATTATTAATACACTTAATTGGAAGTTTTTTAGAGAAATTTTCAATTTTTGTGTTAAATGTATAATTTTTCATGCCAAATACAATTTAGGGAATGAAAAATTGAGTTAATAAATCGTTATTATTTCACTTTGCAACCATTTCAAACATCGGCGATTTTTTAAATCTCTTTTCCTTTATACATAATGCTCTTTGAAAAACTTCCCGTCAAACTTCTGTGCAGCAGGCAATTTATTGATAAATTCGTAACATTTTCGCAACTTCGTAATATTCGCCACTGGACATTTTAATAATCGAGTTTTAAACTATAATTCTGTTAAAGAAGATGTTACTTAAAAATAATTAACTGGGAGTGAAATATTGTCACTTGTTTGTATCTTCGAAGCCCCGACAAGTTTAAAAGTTTCGATGGGAAAGGATCGACTGAATTTGTCAAAGTATACTTCCCTTTCGTGAAGTTTGACGTTTCCGTAAAACATCTGGAATATTCTATGAATTTTAGAAGTACCTTTCTCCGACTTCGTGTTATCTATACCGTGACTGGCATCTTGATATTAGAGATTTTAAGTGGAACACGTTAAATAATTGCGAAATACGCGGTGTAACGTAATTCTATTTGCGGAGACTTTAACTGAATTACTAATAGAAGAGCAAACGCGCGTTTCCTGCCGTCGCCACACGGAAAGTAAATTCCAACTGGTTGAGAGTGCGACAGCGAAGAATGGAACGCGGTTACAATGGGCTACAATTAGGCTACTAAAACGGGGCAAAATTCCTGGGGAGAAGTCCGTCGTCGGACCGTCGCTCGACCGTTGCCCCGGCATGGCGCGGTGCACAAATGGAAGACGACATATCTTCCCTCTAGATCAATATCTTGAAGTGAAAACAACCAATGTGATTTTGAAGTGTAGAAGTAGAACAAAGGCAATGTTATTATATTCACCGGTTATGAAATATGAATTCATTTGTTTGCCTTTAAAAGGAATAATACCGCTCGGCCCCCATTGACAATGAGTGTTGAAACAGCATTGCAGATTGCCGTGCAAATTAAACCTCCAAAATATACAATTTTGATTAAAACCTATAATGTCTTGTAATGAGAGCTTATTGTAAGTGGAACGAATCAAAGTTTGCAGTACGACGCGAGGTCAATTCTCACGGAAGTTCTAAAATAAAGTTTCCTCCCCACTCCCTATAGGCTTTGATGCCTGTGTAACTTCCACGCTTGCTGTCACGAACAACTACATTTACAAATCGTTATTGTCTCGTTCTGCGGTCATTTTGATTCTTCAGTAAGACATTTTCGAGAGAAAGGACAAAAATAACTGCAGCTTTGAAACGACTTTATTTATGCAGCTCGACGCCGGAGAATTAAATAAGACGTGGACGTGACTTGACGCAACGCGATTATCTCGTCGAGAATTGCGACTCTGTATCCCGACATCTTTTATGTATTCCGGAAGTATTCACATATTTTTCATCGCTGCGCCATTGTTCGCAAAGCAAAATATATAAATCTCGTTCTCATGCATGCCTCGTTGAAGTAATAAATCAGAAAAACTTAGGTAACTTGAAAGAGCGAAGGAAAAAAGGAAGCGCGGAATTTAAGAGCAACCGTAGAAAGTCAGGAAATTTTTTGAAATTCCTCTTGTTTAGCAATCTTATGCGAGTCTGGCAGCAGTCGTTTCCGCGACAACGAGAATACCGTACAGAACATTACGCTTTGTACAGACTACGAGGACGCTTACTTCGTTGCGAGTGAAATTGTTTTCACGACCGCCTTCGCTTAGTTAGTTTTAACAGAATTTCGCTTCCACAAGCTCGTTCTCAACATATCTCTCTCTCTCTCTCTCTCCATAGCTTAACTGAAAATCTCGTAAAAGCCATAGATGTACTAGACCGCGTGTCCTCCCAACCACGCCGGTCGGTTTATTGAGACACAAAACCGAGAAAAATGATAATTGCTGTAATGGCGCAGCTGTTACGGAATTATTAAATAAATAAAGTAAAAGAATTTTGATTCCAATTAGTGAGAAGGTGTTAGATTACGGATACATTGGTGCAACCAAATGAAATAACGAATATGGGAGATGAAATAAAACGAATAACAAAAAATGTTTTTTCTTTGATTAATCTTAATTGGACTTTGTTTTAAAGCACATTCCATTTTATGTGTAATTATCAAAGTACAAACAACGTTAAAATTTTGATGAAAAAATCATGGTAATATTCGAGAGGCTTTTTGACGACAGAAAAATTAAATGTGCGATTGCAAATTTATTATTCAATTTAAATTTTATAGAAATTCCCCAAATATCATGCGCTTTTATAACAAATATTTCATGCCACTCTCGAAAATGGGTGTAACATAGTTAACCGTCGCCTATGTCAGGCTAATAGTACGAATAGAACTTACCTATGCCCTTTGATGCGCCCTTGCGATGCATATTATGCGTCACGTCTTGCGAAAGCGTTTCGCTGACGAGTTACGTATAGAATCAAAGAAACAACGACGATGACGGAGACGCGAGGATGATAACATTCGGCATCGCGACAGCTACGTCGTTCCCTACCCATTGGGAATTTCTCCACCGCCTCCTCCTCCTCTTTCTCTCTCGACTATCTACGCGTTCGTGCATCGTTTATTTCACATCAAGTGCAAGCTGGGGAATCTCCGTTTCATAGATATGACAGATTCTTCAGGGAGACAGAGCAGAAACTGAATTTCTTAACA